CTGCCCCAACTCTGTGCCCCTCCCTCCCACTCAACATACCCGAACCCTCTGTCCCCCTCTGATACCCATACCCCCTCCCAGATCTGGCACCCCAATCTCCTGCCCCAGATCACAATCCCCTTCTCCCCTAGGTCACATCCCAAACCCCTGCACTCCAGCCCCCTGTCCTAGGTCACAACCGCTTGCTTCATCCAAACTCCCTCCAAGACTCCAGTCTCCCTCCTGCACCCCAGTCCTACACTGCAAACTCCCTTCTGCACCCAACCTCCATCCCAGATCCCGCACCCCGTCCATTAGTACCTTGGAAGAGAACGGCCCTCCACCACTTTCCAAAATCTTGGCGTGCCCCCCCCATCAAAAATTATTGCCCACCCCGGCATAGACTTTCCCCAGCAGAGCACTGGGAAATGCTTAAGACGTCCGCAGGTGCCGTGTACTGGCTGTCACTGCCAGGGGACTGGCTGTCACTCAGGGGAGAGGACTAGAGGGAGGGGGCGTTCCTGCCACTCCAAGGAGAAGGCATCAGGTCGTCGGCCCCACTGCGCCCTCCTGTCCGCGTTACCGGTCCCAGCTTCTGCAGCAGGCTGCCGGGCCTTGCCACCCCTTTGCCCACAGCAGCTGGCCGCGGTCCCAGCTGCGTGTGTGGGTGACGTGATTGTCACCCTGAGGGACCCCAGCAGGCGTCACCAGTGAACTGATCCTGCAGGTCCGTGCGCCTGACTGCCAAGTCGAACCAGCGAAACGGCCCCTCGTGCAGCCAGGCGGGCTTCCGGGGGCAGCGTACGCGTGTCAGCCCTTCTCCCTCCCACGAGGTGAGAGCGCACGGCCGTGGCGCCTCAGCTCCTTCAGCGCTGCCCAGCCTGAGTCCTGCAGGGGTGTCACTGGTTTCCCTTATTGAAACAGCCCCATAGCTACAATCATAGAATCCCAGGGCCGGCAGAGACCTCAGGAGGTCGAGTCCAGCCCCCTGCCCAAAGCAGGATCAACCCAACTCCATCATCCCAGCCAGGGCTTTGTCCAGCCGGGACTTCAGCACCTCTGGGGATGCAGATTCCACCCCCTCCCGCGGTAACAGTCTGCGGTCAGATTGGCGTCTGAAGCTGGATGCTTTCTCCGATGAGCCCCACGGCTGGACGTTGAATTCTCCTCCCGGCCCCGAGTGAAGTCAGGAAGTGGCCGTCTTTCCGTTACGCATCGAAGTCCAGCCCTCAGGAGTACCGGCAGCCTGCCAGAAAAGGCCTGTTGCTTGCAGTGAGAACTGCTGAGCAGCCCCACGGCCATCAGTACGTAGATTCACCAGGTTGTGCGCCGTGGTTATCCTCTCTTGGCCAATGCCATTGGTCTCGCGGGAGTCCTCCCCCAGCCTCGCTGCCCAGGGACGGGGGAGGAGATATGGTACACCTAGTGTTCATTGTCTGAAGTTCAAGGATGATCCTACTACCCTCCCCCCGCCCCACACTGCAGTTTAAATGTAATAGGAACCAGGCTGCCTGCTACATTTCAACTGCAGAGCTGTAGCGGGGGGTAACTCCCAGCTCCCTCCCTTATCGACTAATCGTGCAGTTGATAGAATTTCTATCGACTACACGATTAGCTATTTACTCGCTTCCTAATATCCCTAGCCCAGGGTCCTGTCTGCCAACCGTGGCTAATGCCAGGTGCCCCAGAGGGAATGAACGGAACAGGGAATTGTCACGTGACCCTCCCCTGTCACCCATTCCCAGTCCCTGACCAACAGAGGCCAGAGACACCATCCCTGCCCATCCTGGCTATACAGACCCATAGTCTCCTCTAGACAACCACCTAACCTCAAGATGATTCTTACCAACAACCACAGGACATACCACACTAATACCAACCCTGGTACCTTCCCTTGCAACAAACCCCATTGCCAGCTTTGTCCACACATTCATTCTGCTGATACCATTATTGGACCTAACCAAGTGAGTTATAAGATCAAGAACACATATTCCTGCGCATCCAGAAATATAATCTATGCTATCATGTGCCGAAAGTGTCCGTCTGCTATGTACATTGGACAAACATCTCAGACACTTCGCCAAAGGATTAATGCCCACAAAACAGATATCAGACAAGATCACAAAGAAAAAACAGTTTCTTGCCATTTTAACCAGAAAGGACACTCTCTCAATGACTTGACCACCTGCATTCTGCTACAAAGACCTTTTACATCTGCACTTGAAAGGGAATCCTCTGAACTGTCATTCATGTTAAAATTCGACACTTGCCAACAAGGACTTAACAAGAATTTGAACTATCTCACCCATTACCAAGACAGTTTCCCCAATTATCACCTCTAATACCATTAACTCACAAACATCCCACTCTCCCTACCTCTAATATCATCAATTCACAGACACTTACCTTCCTTCCCCCTCCCCCCCACCGCATCCCCCTCCTGTTCTGCAATGTGATTTGTCCTTTTCATATTTGTTCTTTTTTTTAATTGTATCCTTTGGTATATACGGTTGTGACTACTGTGACAATTTTCTTCCACTATTTGATCTGAGGAAGTGGGTCTGGCCCACGAAAGCTCATCACCTATTAAACCATCTTGTTAGTCTTTAAAGTGCTACATAGTCCTGTTTTTTGTTTTGGCTAATAGCCATTGATGGACCTTGCCTCCATGAATTTATCCAGTTCTTTTTTGAACCCTGAAAGAGCTAGAAAAAATTGTTAGATCTGTGGCCCCGAGCACAACGAAGAACAGGAAAATGTTTCTGTGTTTACCTGGGAATTTCCTTTCTTTGAGTAATAAGGCCCACAGACTTTGCTCACCGAGGAGACCCAAAGATTTGGGTTTAGTTATTGTGCTGCAGTAGGATACATGGTTGTGTTTTTCCCTCAAAGTACATTGAACACAATCACAGGAGCTGAAAGACTCGTGCGTGTGCACACACACAAATCTCTGCGCCAAGAAAAACACGGTTTTGTATTGTACTTCAGAGCCTCTGGCAAAGCAAAACAGGAACAAAACAAGTTTCATTTCTCCCCACAGTCCCGGAGTGACTTTGTAGCTAGCTTGTCCTCCCCTCCCCCCGGTTTAAAATCCATACCCTTACAGCGAGTTGCTGTGTTCCTTTCTAAGATCCAAGGTTTCTCAAACTCCTGCCTGACGGCGCTGACTCACAATTCCCAGTGCTCACATTCCCATCGTACTCCAATGCTTTGAAATTGTCAGGTGTCGGGGGTGGGGATGAGAAATACCATGGACTGTCAGGATTTTCCCTGAAAGCATCAATGCAGAACACAGAATCGCTGGGGGGCCTGGAAATGTAGTGAAGAGTGTGACAGCGATAGGGGTTGGTTTCCTCCAAGACCACTGCTGCTGTCAAGTGACTACCCGGGGGATCTGGAGTTTTGGATTTCGGTAGGTAATGATTACCCGCTACATGTTCCCTCTCTCCCACTGCATCTAGACTGCAGCGCTTTTCCAGGATACAGCATCCCGGAAAAGCGATGCTGCACCCAAGGAACGCGTCCCGCTTTTCCTAAAACAATTTCAGGAAAGTGGACGCATTCTTTTGCCATCCCTGTAAACCTTGTATTACGAGGCAGCAGGGGTGGCTCAAAAGAGCAGGTTGTTCCGAAATTTGGCGCCGTGTAGACGCGCCACATGTCGGAAAAGCCGCTTTTGAAAGAAAAGTGGAAAAAGAGACTTTTCCCGACTTTTCTTTGTCATCTAGAGGTAGCCTCCGTCGGGCCAAGGCACGGCAGCCCGTTTACATGACAGCGGCAGAGAAGAGGAAACCTGGAGTAGAGTGAAGTCGGGCCATGTGGTTCCCCTGGCACGCAGACGGGTTGGCAGATCAGTCCACAAGAACAGCTCCTTTTCCGGGTTTTGCTTCTTCCGTATGCAGCAGACGGAAGCAAGGTCCTGCCCCCTCGGTGTCGAGAGTAAGGGTGTAGACCTCCCTGACTTGGCAGCATTCCACCTCAGTCTGGGCACCTGCCGCCATTTCCACTAAGGGCAATCAGCTGCAGCTTTCCACCCAGAGGTGGCTGCATTAGAGAGGTGGGCGCAGCCATCTCTGAGCATGAGCGAATGTCCGCGTGACAGCCCGAGGCTGCGGCCCCGAGGGGTGAGAGCTGAGAGCTGAGCGCAACAGGGCTTCTTGTCAAGGTGGGGATTTCTGAGCTCTGGCTCTAGCTGTGTTTAAAACTCTTGGAGGGACTTTGAGATGAAAGGTGCGGGAGATACCCCCGCAGAGCGGCCCAGGATTGTCCAGCGGGGCTGGTGAGTCGGGGAGCCTCCGTTCTCGGGGGGCCCGTTGGAAACCTATCTCGCTTTAAGCTGACGCTCAGTAATTTTAGGCAGGGGATGAGACGTGGGAGTTGTCTGCAATAGCAGGGGATTCGATCCACCGACCTAGGAGGACCCTCCCAGTCCTACGGACTGGCTTTCCGAGGGTCAGAAGGTCTGAGCTTCTCTCTGGGCACAGCCAGTCGACTTCATTAACGACCTTCCTTCCCTTGCAGGCTTTTGGTCCTTCCTGTGGTTCGTCGCTTTCTGCTTCCTGGCCAACCAGTGGCAGCAGACGAAGCCTGGAATAGGGGTGTCTCAAGGAGCAGATGCTGCCAGGGCAGCCATCGCCTTCTCGTTCTTCTCTATCATCTCCTGGGTGAGTTCAGGTTCCCGATGCTTGGCTGATCACAGACTCTGTGTGCGTGTGTCCGTGTCCGTCTGTCCGTCCCCCAGAGGGAATATCCAGAAGGGACTATTGCAGGGATGGGCAATAATTTTTGATGGGGTGGGGGGGACGCTCCAAGATTTTGGTAAGTGGTCACGGGGATGGATGGGCCTGGGATGGCGGATGGGTGCAGAAGGGAGCTCGGAGTAGGGGACTGGGGTGCAGGAGAGGGTGTGGGGTCTGAGAGGGAGTTTGGGTGGAGGAGGGGGTTGTGACCTGGGGCAGGGGCTTGGGGTGCAGAGCCCAGGAAGGGGTATGGTTACAGGAGAGAGTGCAGGGTCTGGGAAGGAGTTGTGAACTGGGACAGTGGGGTGCAGAGGGTTTGAGTGATGACTTGGGGCAGGGAGTTGGGGGGAGGGAGAGGCAGAGGTGCCAGAGGCAGGCCATGGTCTAAACAGGTACTTATCTAAACAGCTCCCAGCCGGCAGCCCTGCAGGACCCTGAGGCAGGCTCCCTGCCTGCTGCAGCCCCAACCTGCTTTTTCTGTCTGGCTGCTCCCTGTGGCCCTCTGCGCTCCCACCCCCAGCAAAATAGCTCAGCTCCCATTGGCCAGAAACCATCCAGTGGGAGCTAAGAGAATTAGCTAGGGAGCGGGGGCAGCACACGAAGCTCCCCCAGCGTCTGGAGCAGAGCCCCGGTGCGCAACCAGCCGCTGAACACAGCGTGGGGCTTCTCTGCGCCTGAGGGGCCCAGTGGGGCAGCCCGTGTCCCGCCCGTCCTCGACTATTGGCGTATTGGGCTGCAGCAGTAGGAGCACGGCTGGCAGATCGAGGGAAGTGGTTATTCCCCTCTGTTCAGTATCGATGAGGCCACCTCTGGAGCCTTTGTCCAGTTTGGGGCCCCCGTCACAGAAAGGACGTGGCGCATTGGAGCGGGTCCAGCGGAGGGCGACGAAAATGATACGGGGGCTGGAGCACAAGACCTGCGAGGAGGGGCTGAGGGATTTGGGCTTGTTCAGTCTGCAGAAGAGAAGAGTGAGGGGGGATTTGAGAGCAGCCTGCAACTCCCTGCAGGGGGGGTCCAGAGAGGATGGAGAGAGGCTGTTCTCAGTGGTGACAGAACAAGGAGCAATGGGCTCAAGTTGCAGTGGGGGAGGTCTAGGTTGGAGAGTAGGAAAAACGATTTCCCTAGGCGGGTGGGGAAGCGCTGGGCTGGGTTCCCTAGGGGGAGGGGGGAATCTCCATCCCTAGAGGTGTTGAAGTCCTGGCTTGACAAAGCCCTGGCTGGGATGGTTGAGTCGGGGTCGGTCCTGCCTTGGGCAGGGGGCCGGACTCGATGGCTCCTGAGGGCTCTGCCGGCCTGTGACTGCAGCACGATGCTCACTGCAGTTCCTCTGTGGTACGTGGTTACCACGGCGATGCTGCTCCTCCTCCTTGGTGTGAAGTCAGTGATGGCGCCTGCCCCCAGTGGCGTGAATGGCAGGACGCCCAGGGCCTCAGTGGAAATGGATCTGAGCCCTCAGCCCCCCGAGTGCCGGGCTCCTACCGATTTACCGAGTGCAGAGCGTGTGTCTCATTTCACTCGAGCGTCCCTGGGTGCGGCGGGAAATCCTGGCTCTGATTCTCTTTCCTACCTGAGCTTCAGCAGGGAATATATTTAGGATTTTTTTAACTAAAAGAACAATTTGGGAGCAAGACAAATGTCCAGAGAGCAGCTGGCCTCGTTGTCTCAGGGACAGATTGGATATCCCCGTCTGGCTTACGGTCTGGGGCCCCCCAAAATCAGTCGTGCCAGAGTGCAAGAGGATGAAACAGCCTGGTCACTAGAAACCTCCCCACGAAGCCCCAGAGAATGTCACCAGACCTGCGCTCACCGTCCCAGCTCTCCCATTGCTATTTCTCCTCGTTACTGGGAATTTCCGGGCCCTGATGAATCAAAACGCTGCCGTGACTCTGGGAAAAGCCGGATTTCTAGTCCTCCGGTGGCAGCATTTGAAGCTGTCGTTAAGACTGGCAGGGTTTCACCAGGTGGGGGAAGATGCCAGCTCCGTGTCTGCAGCAGCTCCTGCCACAGGGGCGGCGCAGATGGCGAAGGAGGTGTCTCTTTTCCAAGTGTCGCCAAACGCTAAGGCGGCCAGTGCCCATCCTGCCCGCTCGGGGTGGTGAGGTGGGAGCTCTGCTCGCCTCCATCCTCCCAGGCCCAAGTGCCAGCTGTGTCACGCTCACCCCAGCCTCCCAGGCCTGGGGCAGGGCCGTAGCGATTTGTCACCGGGCTTGGGACGGCTCTGTGAATGCTCAGCCCCACGTAGGACCAAAGCATGCGCAGCGCAAAGGGCCCAAGGGCGAGAAGCAGCGAAGCTCACAAGGGAAAAGAAAGAGGGAAACGAAATCTGATCTGAGCGCAGCAGAGCACCAGAAAGGGGAATTGGGAAATGTGATTTGGGGAACCGGGGCCCTGCTGCACGGAGAGAGTTTATAGGAAAGAAATAACTGCTGCTCGACTCTAGCGAAACCTCTAAACACCGATGAAACGTGTGGGCACTGGCATGGTTAACTTTAGGCAGGGGAATTCCAAACTTCCCCCGGCCGACCCGGGCCCTGCTTCCGGGGAACACCGGGCCCCACCTCCCACTGGAACTAGCGAGCAAGCCAGGAAACGCCATCCTCTCTGCGTCCACAGCGAGAGCTCGGTGTGGGGTTTGATTTAAAGAACCAAACCCCCAGCCCCCCAGAAATCCCTCTGGGCGACTAGCCCGACCTGCTGCATCCCAGAGAGGTGCAGCCTTCTAGTCGGACTCTCTCGCTACAGCAGCGCCAGACTTTACCGTTAATCATTTACCGACGGGTGCGGTGGAGCAGAGCAAGACCTCCCTGGGGGCTTTGGAAAATCCCTCCCTCACCTAGTACAGGCAGTCCCCGGGTTACGTACAAGATAGGGACTGTAGGTTTGTTCTTAAGTTGAATCTGTATGTAAGTCGGAACTGGTACATATTGTAGGGGAAACTCTAGCCAAACATTTCTCTGGCTCAGTTTTATTCTCCCACACCTCACTTCCCTCAGTCCTTTATTCCAGCTGACAGCTGGGGGTGTTGGAGCTGCCCAGGGGCATCCGCTGGGCCAATGGACACAAAGCTGGAGGGGCGGGGTGCCTCCCCCACTGTCGCTGCCTCCGGCGGCACGGGGGGCGCTTCCCCTGCAGTGCTCAGGGCAGCGCCGGCT